AATCACCCCTCTCTGCCTCATCCTGGCATACCGTCACTTCTGCCTTCCAAGCACTGTTTGGGACATCTTGCACTATCGTTGCTGTAAATTTTAAACAAGCCCATATCGTGCACGGATGCTATCGCAGCTTCTTTTCCGCTCCAAATACGCTGTTCTCTACTCGTAGAAGTAAGTTCTAGCTCATTTAATTTTCATGTGGAGAGAAGTGTATGGCTCCTAACATATTCGACCTCCAGTCGACCTACAGTGCTTGATGTTCTAACCACACCATTTCTAGAAAGAGATCGTATCTTGAAGCTTGGTGCAGGCCTAGCCAATGTCCCACGCTATCAAATTTCTCAGACGTAGCTCGAAAGATCAAAAAATCTTTTAAGACTTCCACCAGTGTCCCAATCGCAAGACGCATGGATATCGCATCGAATCTGGCATCGTAACCACCTCAGCGCACCGTCAAACGTGTTTGACAGTCGCGCGACCTACTGTACCCTGAATCTATCAAGAGTTTTCACGGCTTCACAAAGCCGGAAACTTTGATATCAATAGCCAAATACCTTGGACTGTTAGTCCCTTCTTTTCAAAAAAAAAAGCCAATCTTTCCAGCGCTGATTCACATTGAACCCAACCTCCGTGAGGTTGCATAGAAATCAGTAAATTCAGTAGGCCGCCTTACGCCTACTGGACTTGGCATTTCCTTGCGAGACTTTTTTTGTTCACCTTTGCGTGGGATTCCAACATTTCGTACTTTCCAGCCGAGAGCAGAGGAAGCACGCAACGCGCATTTGTTTTGTACTACTAGAGCATATATCCCAGGCCTTCGCGCTTTTTCTAAGAAAGCGATGGGCGTACCATTCAATCCAAAGTTCAGCTTTCACACAGGATTCAATACTGGAAGTGGAAGCTCATTAAGCGCACCAGAGGTGATAGACCTCAGCCATGAGGAAGAAAATATATTCAAGCTCTTGGAATAAGCCGCCTACGCTTAGAGACCGTCCATAATGGGGTGGCCGTCATCGCCATCGGGAGAAGGCCAAACGGCATTGGTGGACTAAAAACTTAACTCCTAGACATAGTTCTCTCTGACCTTGACGGGAAGACAAAAACTCTGAGCGCGATCAGTACGCTTGCAAACACTCGCAACATTTGTCGCTACAAATCGTCCTAAGTAATACAAATTTGCTAAATGTATAAGGAATAAGTACTTGCCCATTGGTTGGCATAGTGCACCTAAGCATACATGTTTGGTGGTTTGAGGATCTGATGCCGTATCTTCAATCTATTACTTTGGTATTTCACCTTCAACCAAAAGAAGCCTTTGCTTTGTCGGTTTTATATAATTGTAATGTCGTGAGACTCCATGTCTTGTCATCTTAGTCTCTTTGGAAGAGACCTCAGCACGAACAAGACTATAAAATGAAACGGCAAATTTAATCAGCTAGCAAAACCCAAAAGCTCTTTTTGATTGTTTCTTATTTACTTTAGTCACAAAGTAGGCCTTTGCCTGCGATGGATCAATCACCACGCAGCAGCAAGAGTGAAGTATGTAGTAGCAAAAGCGATCGACCCACCTCTGAACAGCGACTCAACGGCTTTGAACGGCCATACTCGTGTGACCAAGTGGTCTCATGGATTGGCCACTTGGTGTCAGCCCTTTGGTTTTTCTTTGGGGCAATAGGCATTCTTTATTTATGTTCGAGCAAAGGCAGCGACGACAAGGAACAAATTTGTACTACAACTTTCATAATGGTACGACGACAATGAGCTGGTAGAACAAGCCGATCGTACTGACAATGCACCTGTCTGTATAGACAATTGTGGCTGTAGGACTGCACGTGGTGAACACGACGGTCCTGATCATTTCTTGGAGATCCTGCGAGACTATCGATCCTGCAGAACCTGCAGAAAAGTCGCTGCCGAATGGCTGGTGTGGTGTCAGACTCAGTGGGCCACGATGGGAAAAGACTCGATACTGTGCTCAGTGTCGAAAATCTGTGCCGGGTCTTGACCACCACTGTACGTGGCTACAGACGTGCATTGGTAAAAGCAACTACGCACAATTTTTTACCGTGGCGTGCACAGGAACAATACAGTTTTTATTGCAGGTTGTGTACGCAGGGCTTTGTCTATTGTGGCTGCACAATCATTTGCTGGACGATGCAGGAGCGTTTGATTACGTAGTCGTCGGTTGTCTTGTGACGTGCTTTGTGACCTCCTTCCCATGCATGCTTATGTATTTTGTGCTCTTGGGTTTTCATCTATGGCTCATGATATTGGGCTATGGCACGTATGAATGGATGCTGCGTCGTCGAAAGGAGCAACGAGCTAAGAGAGCAAAAACCTCGACGGATTCCTCGAACACGCAAGAGACTACGTCTCCAGAAATCGATATTGCGGTCGTTAAGACGTGCGAAATGGAAGCAGAGGTACAGGTTAGAGAGGTGAACGTGCTGTAATCTTATTTCGAGCAATTGTATCATTAAAAGGTTAGATGTGAGTAGAGGTAGAAGCAGAAGTCCCTATAAGTATAAGAAGCAGCATTGCATTCCTTTTGTCTATTATCTTGAGCTTAATGCTGCTGCTTAACCTGCGTTACAGCCTTTTCAAAACGAGCGCTAACATTCGGTAACAAACTTATATGCGAGTCAACGCATCGACTCACGCACGCATCCATATCCTCCTGCGCTCGCTTAATCTGCTTTTCACTAGGATTACCGCCAGCAGACAGAGCATCTTGTGCCTTGTCTTGACAATCCTGGGCACAGCGCTGAATTCGATTTTGAAAATTTTGCATTTCTTGTTGTAAAAATTGGTTCAGCTGTTGACTCGGCATCTGGCATCGCTCCACAGCGGCTGCCAATTGCTCCGATGACCAAGTATTGTTTTCAAATACTTTCGCTGCACATAAGTAGCCGTCGCGCTGAATGCCGCGGAGAAGCGTGCGATCCAAGCGGTCCACCATCTTGTCCACAGCATCTTGCAGCTTTTTGTCGGCCATGGTTGGTGAATAAAGAGCAATAATTGACTAAAAGTATTTATCATACTTACGCACACTACAAAAAAGCTCCAATCATGGACTCGTCATCACCTTCGGAGCTGCAATTAGGCGCACTGTATGGGCGCTATCGCCATTGGCGATCTCTCCCAGCACATTCAGTTGATTGCTCGCTAGTTGACCAATCTAGAGGTTCTCTCTGCGCTCTAGTCGTTCAATTTGAGGCGTTAGCACGAGAAGATTTTCGTGTAGGTTTCGCTCCCGCTCTCGAGGTTTCTACCGAGTCCGGAGACGTCACAAGCACTGAAAGACGTAATAGACCTCAAATTTATTGGAAATATGAGGTGGCTGTTGGCACAAGCGGAAACACGGAAGTGGTATGGCGTAAATCGGCCTCAGGACGCAATAAGGAAGTGGATCTGGCTCGAGTTTTTACAGGCCGCACATGCTCAGCCCAAGAATTTGTGCCTTACTGGGTAGTAGTGGACGTTCAGAATGGCTTGCTGTCGTCTGGTGTGGGTACTCAGTTGGGCCATGATGTCCTTTCGACAGTCCAGGATCAAGACTTTGTCTTTGTGACGGAGGTGGGCTTTACGTCGTGGGATCAATCTGTGTTAATTCGAGGCATTCAGCTGTATGGAGTGTACGAGGGTCAGACAGAGGCTCTTGCAGCTGCTAATGTGGCGGCGTTTCCTCCCCCTAGACTGATCGTACGGGCTGATCCTCTAGGAAAGAGGGACATGCTAACGCCGGAGCAGCACCAGCAGTATGAGGCAGAGTATGCAGCGGCAAAACGACGTGCAGATAGATTTGGCACGCCATTTGCACCGCCTGATATCAAGAAGTTTGTTGATTCACGAGATGTTAGGAAATTTCAACGCACGGGTGCCATTGTGTCTGGATTCTCGACGGGAATTGATCTCACAAGTCAGGAAGAAAAGACCAAGCGTGAACAGCGCATGAAACGCTTTGATACGCCGGAATTTGCTGTAGAGTACACATCTGAGTCTGCTCGAGCGCTGGAATTAGGCTTGACGCAGGAGGAATGGGCTCAAAGGCAATATGACCAGGAGAAGCTGCGTGCTCGCGCGCAAAAGTTTGGACTATCGGTGGAAGAGGATCACTCACGAATGGCGATAACCGATTTGGAGCCAGCTAATGCTAAGATTCGTCGCGAGCGATGTGATGTAAAAGCCTCTGCTTTAGAAGGTCAAGCAGTGGTATTTCGTACCGATGCACTGCACATGTATTCGCTCGATAGCCATTTTCAGCAAGTTCGTACAACTGACGTGATGGAATATTTTGTGGAATTTGCTCCGGCATACGTTGAATGGCTTAATGACAGTTCATGCACAATTGTGTTCCATGACAATTTTAACGCAGCTAGAGCTCTCGTTGCTTTGAGCCAAAAACTTCCACCGCAAACTTTGAAGCAGATGAAGAACGAATTGGCTGTTGATGCGCCTGTGGCTGGAATAGATGTCGACATGGTGGATACTGAGAAATTTGTCAGGGGCGCTGCAATGAAAGACTCTGGTAAGATTGACGTTCCTGATGTTGATTTTAATAGGTCGCAATGGCATTTGGGTAATCGCATTAATAGTCGCACGCAACATGCTGACAAGAGTTGGCGAGTATTACTGCGAAAGGCGACGGATGATGATTTTCCACCTGAGAAAATTCCAAAACAGGGTATGTATCACGCTCGAGGTAGCTTGCGCCTGAACTCACGTCATCGCAATGACCGAGAATATGGTACTGGATCGCGACGAAGCGGGTCTGACACACGAGCTCATCCCTATGGTAAATTCAATGAGGACCGTCGAAGAGAGGATACGTCTGGCCGTCAACGAGGCAAAAAGAAGGGTAACCGTGATAGTGGAAAACCGTCAAATCGTATTCGTGTAAATTCGGATGGCTCCATTAACATCATGCGCAGTGAAGTAGCAGGAGAGCGGTGATGTATGCGTATTTTGACGCTGGCACAGCAAGTATAATTACATCTGAATATAGACAACCCAAAATCAAACGATGATATGTCGCGCATAGCTCTGCTACTTGCTTTTGCCGCTACATATAAAATATTGACTATACATTTGCACTGATCGATTCTCGACAATACGGGCACTCGCCAAACACTGTGTGAAAGGTTTGGCGCGACGTCGGCAATGCACGAAGCCAATCATAGAGGCATTTGGCATGAAAAGGTCGATTACACTTTGGATTTTCGCATAGATGGTCTGGAAGGCGTGAGTTGTTTTCTGCATGTTGCAACGACGCTGCAATGTTTTGTTGTGCTTGCTCTTTGTTGTCTTCTTCATCTTCCAAACGGTATGAATAACAAATTCCACACTCAATTGCAAACTCATTTGGCTGTGTCGTCTTCGGAGACGGTAGCGTGATTTCCAGCACATCCTCTAGGTTTTTGTGCAGAGTTTTTGTTATATCCCATTTACTCAAAGCATTGTGATTCCAGCGTTCACGCAAAATCCCGACACTTGCCATGTTTCCAAAGAAATTGAGCTCGGTTAGCATCGCCATTGGGTCGATCGGATCGACTTGGAATTGCACTGACGCATATCGTTCCAACGCCAACCTTCTACGTCCTGTAGCTCTTGTCGCATGATGCGGCTCAAGTACACACGTTGATGCATCTAGAGCATCCAAGACGTTCCAAAACTCTTGAAATTTATCCAAGAAATGCTCAAATTGTTTGACAATCCCAACCAACACTGTCTCGTTTTCGCTGGGGGGCCACTGAAGCTCAAAAGTATCAGGTGCATCTACAAGACATTTTGGCTTTGTTGTAAACCCAGATAGCTCAAATTGCAGCGGCAACAAAATGCGAATCGTATGAGTTCGTCCCGCTTTATCCTTTGTCGTAAGCTCTAATGAGCGTAAATCATCGCTAAGTTGACCCAGTCGATTCCAGCCCACAACGTCCAATTCCTCCATTAATTTCGTATAGTAATTGGCACTGGGTAATGCCTCCTGATGATTTAAATGTGCTTTGCAACAAATATCCACTATTTCTTCCAATTCTGCCGCAAAACCCGCGAGTGAGGACGCCTGCGCCAGTCGCAGCTTTAAAGTCGCACTGTGCGGCTTCAAGTGAATTGCTAGTGCACAATCCACGTCCAGCCGAGCTGCATCAAGAATTGCTCGACCTGTACGCTCATCATACCTTACATTTCTCACGCACACCACAAACTCATCGTCATTCACGCGTATGTACCCACGGTAAGCTGATTGTGTGGCATTTTCTGGCACAAAGTGCATCACTGTGGTCTTCAATACAGAGAAATAGAGTAATTCGGCTTAAAAGTATCAATTAACAACATTAAACACAGGCATCTTGCTGATTTTTAAAAAGACTAATAAAGCTCATTTTTATCAAAATGCTGACTTCGTTGGTGCGTCCTGCTGTGCGCTGCATGGTTCGATCGCGTCGTCCCCTAGGCCATCATCAATCATTACTTTTACGTGGCTGTTCTTCGGTGAAGAAATGGGGAAAAATAAATGATAGCATCGAAGCGAATGTAGTTAACATTGTACAGGACTGTGGTTCCTTGCGCGCAAACGTCCCAATCCACCAAGCTATTCAAGAAGCCCAAAGTCAAGGTCTAGATCTTGTGCAAGTATCACCATTAGGTAAAATGCCGACAGTCTGCAAAATTTTCGACACGAATAAGCGGCTTTATGAGCTTAAGAAGGCCAGCAAGAATATGATGAAGCAGCAAAAGGTCAAAGTCGACAAAGAAGTCTTAATCGGTGCAAAGATCGCGGTAAGTGCGTAACATGCATGACTTTATTGATCACCAGTTGTTATACTCACAATATAGTATCTGTGAATGATTTGTAGCCAAACGACTTGAGCATGAAGGTGGACCAACTTAAGCGGTTTTTAAGCAAGGGCCATAAAGTCAAGGTAACAATCAAGTATGCCCAAGCGTATCATTTAAAAGATCAGTGCCTAGAGCAATTAAAGCGCATTGATAGTTTCATTGACGCTGAGACGGGCGTGCTTATTGGTCCACCCAAGGACCAATATGGCGGAGTGTATGTGAACTATTCACCAGTTACTTAGAAGAGCACTTTCAAAGACATGTTTAGAGGCGCACGTCATAGTTTAGAAAAACAGCGCAGGAATTGCTTGCAAAAAATACTAATTCAGCGCTGCTTGCACCAAATTCGTTGCGAAAGAATCTTCTTTGCTCATTGGCGGTACATTTGAGTACTCCTTTCTGCATTTTGTGGTGTACCTGATGCTGCGTTTATTAGAGACCATCAGCACCAAACAAGTAATATCCAGTGTTTAAGGTCGTGTATAGACACAGGTCAGTTCATGTATCAAAAACTGGACACATTAATCTGCTTTGCTTTTTGCTGCAGCTTTCAGTACATGTAGACGGATAACCTGTATACATCGTCATGCGAACGAGGTACAAGCAGCCTCATTTTACATATTGAGTTAAATGGTAATTTGATAGCAATGCAAGAAGTGGTGTGTCGTCTCCATTTAAACAAACGTCATCAAAGGCTTAGCAGGTTGTAAAACACAAAAGCTAAACTAGAAGCCAAACATTTGCTACTTAGACGTTGATCACTCGAGCAAGTTTCTGAATACGATTAAGCAGCAAGTCTCCCTTTTTGATCGCGTCCTGGTATTGTGCATTCTTGGCGTCCGGACGGTTAGTCTCGATGACCCCAGCTACCTTATCAATCTTAGCATTCAGACGACCGGCAGCGATGAAACGCGCAAGCTCAGAGTCCAAAAACTCGACGCTTACACCGAATGCTGAAGCCATTGAAGCAATAGTCACACTGCGATAAGCCTCCAAGAATTGGGCATACGCTAGCACACGCAGCTCGCGATACAAGAAGCGCGAGTGTGTCGACAAATATTTGTCCCGTAAGATATAAGGCTGAATATCCACCATGGCCGTAAAAAAATTTCTGTAGTCACAGTCATAAAGGCCATTCAGAAAGTTCGTGAGGTACGGAATCTCGTCTATGACCGCGAGAATTTCGGGCGAGTCCACAATTTTTTTCTTCAAATCCACGCGACTCATGCTGAGAACGCACGTGATGACGCAGTAAAATACCATTGTTTTATATGGCATGAGCTCCGTAGCCGTGAATGTCGCGACTGACTCTTGAAATAATAAGGATGCCCTTTTGAAATTGCGAGCCATAAGCAAGTAGCAGCCCTCATACACTTTCAGCCGGTTACGACGGTCCCAATCCCCACCTTCATCAATCAATCTAAAATACAACAACATAAGCCATCACCTAGCATCACAAACATAGCTATATAACGTACGCCGTGGCTTTCTTAATGTACGTCTCGACCAGCTCTAAATCGGAGAAAAAAAGTCCGATTCGAATTATATGCAGCGCTACCAGAATCTTTTGGTTGATGGATTGCGGCTTCTCTCCTGCAACTTTAAACGCTTCGAGCGCCTTTTCCTTGTCGCCAATACGTGAGTACATTCTAGCCTTGGCCAGCAATGCTTCAAGCACTTCAATGTCTCCCAAGTTCTGCTCAGCGTCGGCTAGTCGCTCGTCCAGCGCAATCATTTCCTCGGCGTTCTTGCTTCGCATCTTACCCTCAAGCGCTGAATCGATGGGCCAGTTAAATTCACTACACACCAAACGATAAAATGGAGCCATATCGTTTTGCTTAACGAGCTCAAGAACTTGCGTCTGAGCAGCGGCTGCGGCATCCACAGTCAGAGTCGACGACGTCGTGTGATGATGTTGCAGCAAGAAGTGCAGCTGCGATAGCTTCATATCGGGAAGAGTATTAAGATCATCTTCGATCTCTTCCGAGATGTTCCCCACGCTGGCCTGCTTTGTAAGCGCAGACTTTTTATCGGTGTTAACAGCCATGGTCGTGATGGAGCTTTTTGGATTTTTATTGTGAACAAGGCGTCGTGTTTTTCACATCAAAATTAAAATTCATACATTAATGTCAGCATTTGTATTTATTTAGAGCGTTTTTGTGAGGATCATAAACCTTTACACGGAAAATTGGCGCCGTCTTCTCGTACGAGTGCGCGCCCCATAGCACCACTCACGCCTCTAGTAAGCGAGGTAAAGCATATTCAGCCGACGGGATGAAATCTGACCCTAGCATTGAATATACACAACAACACTGAGACCTTAATAATGTGTTGGCCGAATAGGTACAATTGTACTGATTGCACGGCCTAGTGCCACTTCCACCGTATGCTTTGGCATCATCGCAATTAGACACTGTCTAGCCCCGCCGACATTTATATTACCCACTAAATCATCTGCGAATGAAAAAGCCCATGGATCACGAAGAGATTTACGAAGCCGCTTGTCAGTCGTGGCTCGAGAAACAAAGTACAAATGGGCTGCCGCTTAAGCAAGAACAGGGGGCTTTCACAAGTAAAGCCCGCGCATTAGTGCCATGAAGTTCCTTTGCGCTTGAAGCGAATCTCGGAAGTGCCAGAGTGAACTACCATGACAAAGTTTTATGGCTAGAATTTGTTACGGATGAAGCTGATGGAAGCCCTTAAGGGAGAACCTGTGGACATGTCGGGTTTTAGCCTCAGGTCTTACATTGGATAGGTTGTAATTTTTGTAGATGTCGAAAGATATCCCGTAAGTTTGACTTAACTCAAAATATACGTTCTTCATTGATGCAAGGAAGAAGAAATGCATAAGAACTAGAAAAGGCTCTCGTTAGCACTCTTGTGTGGAGAGTGCGGGCTAATCTTCTATGTGATAGTCGACACGGGTCTGAAGAGTCAAAACGTTGTTGAAGACGTTCTTCGCAGCGTCTGCGCTGAGACGCCGAAGCGCTGGAGCGTATGTTGCCATTCGTAGAGTTTACGCTGAACAATGCTGTGCATTCATCTAGCGACTACACGCCGTTCTACGTGAACGGGCTTATTAATCCTCGCGTCCCGCTGACGCCGCCATCCCATGGCTCAGGGCTTGGTGGGGAGAATTAGCCAAACGGCTAGCTGATGTCAGCCCCCTCACTGTCCGTTACGAAGTCGATGACTTCCTGTCTACCAGATTGAGTGTCCTACAACACGTTCGCGATGCGATGGCTGAAAGCAAAGACACACAGAAAGAATATGCAGACGATAGAAGCAGAAAAATGCTGAAAACTTTGAGGTCGGAAACCTGGATATACTAAATGCTAAAATCCTTCCTACATATGCAGTCTCTGCTGTCTTTAAAACAACGCTCCGTCCATAGTTTATGGACCTTTTAAGCTCGAGGCCAAGGGAGGACTTGCGCATATGCTGAACCTTGTGAGAAGGATGCGCACCCACCCGGTGATTTATGTGGGCTTGCTTATGCCGTACTGGGATCCGGCCCGATTGAATGTGGAAGCGTTGGTGTAGGTTCTCAGAACCAGCAGCTGGTTCTGAGAACGGAGTGCAACAATTCTTATTTCCTGCGGCGCAAGGTGGTTCACCGTCGCACGAGTGTTCGTCTGCTCGACGGCTAGAACGCGCTTCGACAGAGCGCGATAATTCTAAACGTAGGGAAGTCGGTAAACAAAGTGCTCCAGACTCTCGAGATCTTCCGCACTGCGGTAGGTGGCCTCGGAATGACGCTCGGCGGAGTGCCGATGACGACGGAGTTAGTTCCCCAAAGCTCAAAGAGCATCGCGAGTTACCGGAAGGAGATCGACCAATTCGCCATCGCCCGCCGTCTTCTCGATGAGGATGGTGGCGTTTACTATCACGGGGAACACCTTGTGGGTCGACGTCGTCGAAAGGGTCGAACCCAATATCTTGTCAAGTTGAGGGGATACCCCAAATCCGAGAACTCGTGAGACTGTGGTGTGCCACTTCGGCAAGACTGCCCAGACGTCGTGGAGGCTTATGATCAGAAGGATCATGACGATCCGCGTTGTCGTGCGCCCCGCGCTTCTCGGTGGTAGCCCGGGAAGCCGAAGGGCCATGAGCTGAGCTCAAGATATGGTCCTGAGCTGCTGTGGTCGTAGACTCGCCCGTGTGAGAAACCACAGAGCTCGCGGGAGC